ATGTGAAATATTGATAGATTGCTTGTATTGTCATTGATTGCCCTTAATGGAGGTTAATATCCAAAGAAAAACAATTTTAAAATCAATCATAGGGGTCCTCTTGGCCCTTCTAGTATCAAGATTTTATCAAATCAATGGCTAAGATTTATGGCCCTCATGAAAAATCATTAAGACCATTCAGGAAGTGGTAGTATTTTAATTTCTATTGTTTTCACAGAATATAAGTAGGTATTTTTATTTCCATTAATTTTGGTCAGCTTCAAACCACATCCAGCTGCAAGGAGACTGCCATAATGAATCCCCATGTATTCTGTGTAGAACTTCAGTTTCAGCTGTTTAAATTTAAGCAACTACTGATAGCAACTATAAATACTTGAACAAGAACATACTTTTTAAATCACAATAAAATATTGTCTCCAGCAGAAACTCAGTTCTGCAGCCAACAAGTATTTGTCTTGGACCTACTGTGTGGAGGGTGGATCCTGTACTATAGGGGTGATCAAATGAGAAGAAACTGACACGGAGTTACAGTCTGAGGGACTGGGGTGAAACCGAAGTCTTCACTGCTTTGTTCTTCCCTGGTGATAGGAGAGAAAGTCAGGTTTTATCGCCCCGTAAAAATATACATGTGATGTTTCTGTTAGCTAACATGGATTAGAAAGTTGTAAATGTTTCAAACAATGTGAGACTGAAAAATCATGTTAATATTTTAAGTATTTAAATTTCATTCGTTAACTTAAAAAATTTCCTGATAATACTTTTCCTGGTGTTCACACTGATGCAGAGAATGATTTTTTTTTATTACGACAGTGACCTCTTGTGGGGGAAACATTTATCTCACATGTTTTTATTAACTAATAAATCACTGTTCAAACAGGTTTCAGATTGAAATTCAAACCGTGAATAAACAGTTCCCATGTGAACCATTCAAATTCTTGGAGCCAACTCTACGATTAGAATATTGCGAAGCATTGGCTATGCTGAGGGGAGCTGGCATTGAAATGGGGGATGAAGAGGACCTGAGGTTTGTCGTTGGGGTTTTAAAAAAACTATTCATTTGAAGGTGTGAAAGGATAAATAGTGAATGAAGGATACTTTGTTTTGATTTTCACTCAGATGATAAACTTCCATTTTACTAACTTTGGGATACAGGGTGATGCTTTTGCTGTTTGACGTGTAATCTGAAGTAAAATAGTATTGTGTTTAATGTAGTATACCTGATCTTACTTATAGATACTTTTATTTTCCTTTTCACTGTCTCATCTAATAATACAACTCCTTAGAGAGTGTGGGAAGGTGGTGGGGAGCACTAGAACTGATTGTGATGATGTCTAGACAACTCTTTTTAAAAGTGACAACCGTGAAAAAAAAAAAAGTATAGGAACATTTAACTGTGATTTCACTACCTACGATAATACTTTTATTTCCAAATCCATGGTATTAGAGAATACAGATAACTGTCTTAATCAGACAGTACTGGGGCACAAAGCTGTTAA